GGCGGCGGTGCGGGGCGTGGGGAGCGGCGGGCGCCGCGGTCGGGGCGGGCGCGCGCGGCAGCATGGAGGAGCTGAGCAGCGTCGGCGAGCAGGTCTTCGCCGCCGAGTGCATCCTGAGCAAGCGGCTCCGCAAGGTGCGTGCGGCCCGGCCCGCGCCCGCCCCGCGCCCGCCCCGCGCCCGCCCGCCCCGGCTCACGCGCCTCTTCTCTCCCCGCAGGGCAAGCTGGAGTACCTGGTCAAGTGGCGCGGCTGGTCCTCCAAGTGAGTCCCCCGCGGCGCGGCGCCCGCCTTCCCGCCCGCGCCGCCTCGGGCCCGGGGGGCGGGGGCGTCCGCGCGCTGGGCGGGAAGTTCGCGGGGTCCCCGCCGGCTCGGCGGGAAGGGGGCGCGCAGCCTGCGCGGGGCCGCCCTTTGTTTGCGGGGCGCGGGGCTGGGCGGCCTCCCCCGGAAGCCCCTCCGGCTGACCCCGGGCCCCGCGCCCCGCGCCCCGGCCCGCTTCCCTCCCGCGCCGCGCGCTCCTCCCCCTCCTCCCGCGCGCATTTGTTGCCTGCGCCCCCGGCCCGCCTCAGCCCTCCCCGCGGGACGCGAACCCCCCTCCTCCCGTCCATATTTCCCCGCTGTAACCTGAGCTTCCTATTGATGGGTGGAAGGGCTCCTTTTCCCCCTGCTTAAAGTAAGGAAGGGGACTTGGCATCCCCGGAAGGGGCTCTGTTTGCAGCCCCTCGGGCACACGCGCTCCCCCTTTCTCCCCGCTCCCCACTTCTCTTTCTTCGCCCTCCCTTCCCGGTGCCCCGGCCCGCGCTCGCTTGGGCGCCGGCAACATTGTTGGTAATCTTTGGGCTGCGCTCCTGTGCCCCCACACCCCCCGCCTTCCCCTCCCTGCATCCTGGAGCGGCCTTCCCTTCCCTCGCTGGATCCGGGCCAGGCTTTGGGGGCTTCCCTCCCGGCAACTTCCCATTTTATTGGGATTTGTTTTCCTCCCGGGGGAGACCGTGGAGTTTTCCTGAGGCGGAGTGCTAGTTAGTTGAGGGCTGAGGTGGTGGTTTCCCTTGGAGTTTGAGGCTGAAGTGGTGGCCTTAAGGCCCCCAGTCTGCAGGAACCGACTTAGGTGTGGGTGGGATTTGGGGGGACTCTGCCACAGCACCGCGATGCCCTTGCCATCAGCAGGGACTCAGGGCAACGGGGCGGGCCCTTTCCAGCTGTTTCCTGAAGTGGCCTGCCAGGGCCTGGTGTGTCTTGACTCCTTGCTTTTTGCTTTTCCAGACACAACAGCTGGGAGCCAGAGGAGAATATCCTGGACCCAAGGCTGCTCCTGGCCTTCCAGAAGAAGTGAGAACGTTAACAGCACGCGTGGGAAGGGGGAGAATGTTGGGGAGACCTGTGGCCTGTCGTATGGTGGTTCAGGGCCAAGCCGGCCTTGCAGGGGTCCTGGGCCTGGGCTGTGGTCTGAGGGCCTCCCCCTGGGGTGGTGGTCTGTAGGGGTGGGGCCAGCTTTGAGGTCCCAGATGAACCCCCTCCCCGACCTTCCGTCAGCTGGCCTGGCCGGCATCATGTCTAGAGCTCAGAAGTCACCGCGTTACTGCCGCTCTGGGTCTTTCTGCTGGCCAGTCCTGCAAAAATGAACCCTCTCGGTTCCTTCCTGAAAAGTTCTGCCTTCTCTTGTTGGCCTTTGCTGTTGAGTCATTTGCCAACAGCACTAATAAAAACCAGGATCGCAGGTTTGCCGTAAAAATGGTGGCCTGGCCGCCCAGTGCTGCCTGAGGGTGCCTCTGAGCAAGGGGAGGCCCAGAGAGGGAGCCGGAGCAGCACAGCAGAAAGTTAGTGGGTTCTGTACCGGAAACGACACATTATTTATCTTTAGTCTGCAAAACAGGTGGTACCCGGGCGGGGGGAGCTCCCTTGCCTGTCTCGGGGGACAGACCTACTTCTGTAATTTTAGACGTCATCTCTATTTTTAGATAGGAGAGTTGGTTTAGGAGAGACCTTGAGGTAGACAAAAGGGAGGCGAGGGGCAGGTGACGGAGGGGCCAGCTGTCCTGGCAGGAGGGTCCGGGGAGCGATGTCCCTGAGCACACTGCCAGGAGTGGGGGGGTGCAGACTTTGCTGCGGGTTACCCTGTTGCTAGACGCAGTTAAATGAGTCGCTCAGAAGCTTTCCCATTTGGGGTCAATCTGACCAGCTTGTTCTCTGGTCCACTTTTTACCCCCACACTAGAGCGACATTTGGGGTCTTCTCCAGGAGGCCGTGGCAGTGGGAAGCAGGTAAAGCTGGGCTTTGGGCAGAGTTAGGAGGGACGAGGCCAGCGTATGCTTTCCTCTGTACCTTTGGAAAAACTTATCAGTAATCTGATTGTCTTCTGTTGAATTCGTAATTTTTAAGCCTGGGGGGAGGGGGTGAAGGGAGCTGGTCCGTTTCTCCGCAAGGCAGCACCCTAACTGCTGAGGGGGTGTGTGTCCTTTTTGGTTATCGCACAGCAGACGAGAACTAAGGTGAAATATCCAGGCGGTGTGAGAGTTGAAAACAAGCGTGGGGTGGTCTGGCTTACATCATGGGGAAGAGAAGTCCGGGAAGTGGGTGTCTCCCCCTGTGCACCCAGAAGACACCCCCCACCCCGAAACTAGGAGCTGGCCGTCCTGTGCTTGGTGGGGCAGGGGGAGATTTGTAAGGGCAGGTGTGGGGTTCACAATCTGAGGGTGCAGGTTAGTGTGTCAGCAGAAGAGACCCAGGGGAAAGCCCTGCCCTTCTGTGACAGTTCAGGGCTGCTTTGGAAACTGGGAGCTCTGTCTGGTTGTACTAATTGGGTTCTTTAAGCGATGGCGTTCCAGGCCCCAGTGAGGTGATTGGTTGCCCCTTTTAATTACTGGGAAGCTTTTCCAGATCAGCGTCTTCCCGGGGGTGGCCTGAAATACAAGCTTTCTCTGGGGGTGGGGCTGGAAGCAGCTTTCTTGGCTTCGTGACCCGAGTTCCGGGAGCTGGGAGCTGATTAAACGTGTCTTCCCAGAGGTGCGGGCTTTCAGCTCCAGCCACAGCAGGATCAGACACCCGACACGTTCTAGGAACAGAGGAGTGTTAGGAAAAGGAAATGGGAGAGGGAGCTGGGGCACCGGCTCTGGGAAGACCAGAGTGCAGGACGGGACCAGAGCCCTTAGTTCCCGGGACCAGGGCTCACAGATTAGAGAGACAGAGGCTGGGGCCAGTGGTCCTTGTCCGCCCGTGCAGCACGCTTGTTTGGAGTGCTGGGCTTGGGCTGTGTGACAACTAAGGCTCCTTCTAGCAGGCTGTGTTCTAGAAGTTCCGTGAAACATTCTTCCTGGGGAAAGCGGCCGGGCTTAGCACAGGGCTGTCTGAGGAGGAGTCGGAGAAACCTGAGAACTGTTCCTTTCCCTGCTTTGCTGAGATGTCTTTCACTCAGTTTTACCCAAAGGCAAATGAAACCGATAGGTAAAAAGCTAATACTGTACTGGGAAAAGGAGAGTCTAGACGTCTGCCTCGGGTGCATTACGAGTGGCCGTGTTTCTGCAGTGGGGCTGGAGAGAAGCTACGTTGGGCCCGGAGCGTCGGTTGGTGGTGGTGTTTGGGGGCTTGGGGTTCCCGTGTGGTGGGAGAGGGTGTGCGCACGGGGCTTCCCGTGCCCTGACTGGTGACTGTCTCAAGGGAACATGAGAAGGAGGTGCAGAGCCGGAAGAGAGGCAAGCGGCCCCGGGGCCGGCCGAGGAAGCACACGGTGGTGTCCTGTAGCCGGCACTCCAAACTTAAGGTGAGTAGCCGCTTACTATCCACGTGGCCACTTAACCTCCCGCACCCCCTCTGCGCAGGAGGGTGGAGGGCTCGGGACTGGGTGTCCAGCTGGCTCTTCCACAGCTGCTTTCTCCGTCTCCCCTCCGTCTCCCTGGCTCAGGAGGGCCTCCTGCCTCCTTCCTTGCTGGTGGCTCTATGCCTCTGCCAGCAGGAGGCAGCAGCGAGCCCCTGCTCCCCTCCCCCGGTGCCTGTCCCTCTGCCGGGAGGGCTGATCCCCTCCAGGGCTAGTTTCCTGTTCATTTGTTGTCCCTTCCACACTCCTTTCCAGTGGACGGCAGGGTCAGACTTGGCTGCTAAGCACTTTCTCACAGGCACAGAAAAGACCAGGAATTATGTACACAGTAGGTGCTCATAGGTTCGCCGAGTAGACACAGTGAACCAGGGCAGCCACAGGGACGCACGCTTGGGGTCCGGGGCTGTGCCCTTTCTTCAGTTCAGAAGGAGGATGGGGAAAAGGGTCACGGCCCCAGTCTGGGGTGTGTCTGGGATTCCTTTCTCGAGGGCACTGCCCCAGGACCCTGAGCCCTACACAGTGTGACCAAGAGCTCGGTCATGGACAAAAGCCGCCCTTCTGGGAGGCTGTGACAACCTCCCCTTAAGGCTTGTTGGCTGGTCCGCACATCCCGCTCTCGTCTTCACATCTTCCTTTCGAGTAGGACGGTGGGAGCAAGGGGGGGTTCTGTGCCCTCGGGCTCTCATCAGCTTGGGTGACCAGCCAGGGACCATCAAGGCGGGGAGCCTGGCTGGGCAAGGAGGCTCTGGAGCCCCAGGTTGGACAGGATCGTGCCGGGCTGAGGGCAGCAGGGAGCCAGCGTTGGCTCTGTCTCCCTAACGGGTGCCCGTGGAGGCGCGGGCCCGGTGAGACAGAAGACAGCAGGCAGCATTTTCACTCTGCTGTGTTGGAATGTTCTGAAGGGGTCCGCTTTGGAAGTGGGAGGGCTGGAGCAGGATGTCCTCTTGCTTCAGATTACGAGCACGTCCACACGTGCCTTTGTCTGGCTCGTAAGCTCGGCACTTCCCTTTCCCTCTGGGGGGAGCCTGCAGCCGGCCCAGCGGCTCCCTTCAAGGCCATGCCACCCGGGCCTTGGCCGCGCTCGCTCTTTGCTTCGTTCCTCTGCTCCGGTTTCACACACCGCCCGTTCTTTGTTCCACTCATTCTGCTTCTAACTGCATCTCGTGGAATCTCACAAGGGCTTTTCCGCTCTCTTCTGGAGCAGGCTGGCGAGGCCTCGCTCCCTCCTGGCTGCGTCTCTAGTGTGGCGGCCGCCGGCGCGGTCTCCGCGTGGAGGTGTCCGACGGCCCCGGGCCCGGCCTTCCAGGCAGTGACCCCGTCTGTGCTCTGTCTCTGCAGGAGCCCGACGCTCCCTCCAAGTCCAGCAGCTCCTCGTCTTCGTCCACGTCTTCCTCCACCTCCTCTGACGAAGAGGACGACAGTGACTTAGATGCCAAGAGGGGTCCCCGGGGCCGTGAGACCCACCCGGTGCCTCAGAAGAAGGCCCAGATCTTGGTGGCCAAGCCCGAGTTGAAGGATCCCATCCGGAAGAAGCGGGGCCGCAAGCCCCTGCCTCCGGAGCAGAAGGCGGCCCGAAGACCCGTGAGCCTGGCCAAGGCGCTGAAGGCCGCCCGGAAGGACCTGGGGGCGCCGGCCGGCAAGCTGCCCCCTCCGCTCAGCGCCCCCGCGGCTGGCCTGGCCGCCCTGAAGGCCCACGCCAAGGAGGCCTGTGGTGGCCCCAGCGCCATGGCCACCCCGGAGAACCTGGCCAGCCTGATGAAGGGCATGGCCGGCAGCCCCAGCCGGGGCGGCATCAGCTGGCAGAGCTCCATCGTCCACTACATGAACCGAATGAGCCAGAGCCAGGCCCAGGCTGCCAGCAGACTGGCCCTCAAGGCCCAGACCTCCGGCAAGTGCGGCCTCGGGCTGGACCTCAAGGTGAGGACGCAGAAGGGGGGGCTGGGGATCAGCTCCCCAGGAAGCAAAGTCCCAAAGGCCCCCAGCAGTGGGGCCGTGGAGCAGAAAGGGGGGAACGCTGGGGGGCCCCCCTATGTCCACAGTAGCAGCAAGGGCCCTGCAGCGTGCCTGGGTCCCCAGCCTGCACCCACCCAGGAGCTGAGTCTCCAGGTCTTGGACTTACAGAGTGTCAAGAATGGCACAGCGGGGGTGGGCATGGTCGCCCGCCATGCCACAGCCGGCAAGGGTGTCCCTGCCACCAGCCCAGCCGTGGGGAAGAGCGTCGCCGGTGGCCCCACCGGGGGGAGCGGGGCGGCCATGCCCTCCGACGGCAGCAAGAGTGAGAGGCTGCCCTCCAGGGTGACAGCTCTGCCCACGTCTGCGGGCAAGAGGGACTGTGTGAGGGGTAGCGCAGCCCCCGGCAGTCAGGAGGGCCACACAGCCCCTGGGGAAGGACGCAAGGCAGCCTTGGTGGCAGAGCTGAGCGCCGGGGAGGAGAGCAGCTCCGACTCAGACCCTGGCTCAGCCTCACCGCCCGGCGCCAAACAAAACCCATCCGTGTCTGTCCAGACCAGCCAGGACTGGAAGCCCACCCGCAGCCTCATCGAGCATGTCTTCGTCACTGACGTCACTGCCAACCTCATCACCGTCACGGTGAAGGAGTCCCCCACCAGCGTGGGCTTCTTCAGCCTGAGACATTACTGAAACCCCACCCAGCTCTGACCCTTCTCTGGCCTCTGGTTTTGCTTCGATAACAGCCCTGCACCCCCAGGCCCTTTCTGGGGTCGGGGTGGCTTCCTTCCAGGGCAGGCTTGGAGGGACTTGCCCCAGCCCTGCCTGTGATTTCAGGCAGGGGAGTACCTTGATGCCTTGCCAAGGCCTGGCCTTGCCCTTGTTCCTACCTCTGGGCCTTCCCACGTGCCTCAAGAAGTCTGCCTCCTGCTTCTCGGGCCAAACGTTCCTCAAGGCCTTCCCCTGTTTGCTGTTGGAACTGCCCTGCCCGGCCTGTGACGACAGGGTGGGGGTCAGCTTTCCCCTGGATTTCCGGGGGGGGCAGGGCTGTTAGAGGAGGGATCCGCTCGGTAGTTCCTACCCGATGGTGGGGAAGCAATGTGGACTGGGGTGGGGGCCTCCGGGCACTGCTCCAGGCCTCAACTAGGTTTGTCAAGATGGGCCAGGGGGCAGGTAAGAGACATCACCCATCAGGACCCCTGCAGAATGGTGCCTGACTGCCAAGGACCAGGGGTCTTGTCCTTGTCCCTGTCCCGTGCCAACAGCTCAAGGCTGCAGCCTAAATGTGGAACAGGTGTGGGCTGCATCCCTTGGTGACCTGTAATTCCGGTTCAGATTAACAACTGCAGTGCCCTAGTGCTGGCCGGAGGTCAGCACGAACCAGGAGCAGGCTGGTCCCAGAGCTGTTCCACTAGAACCTCCTGTTTCCGGGGAGCAGAAGCAGAAGGGTGTCACTTTGGCTGCCCTCCTTTCTGCTGTTCTGTGCGAGGACAGCCGTGGCCCCACACGCTGCCTCTGAGAAACCGTGGAAGGTGGGAGTGTGGGCAGTTGCTGGAGTTAGACGCACCCTCCATGGCCTGCTGGCTTCAGGCTTGGGACAGGTGTCTGGCAGCGGCCACCGTGCCACCCTCTGCCACAGTGGGCGGGCACCGCCTTCCCTGACAATCCCTCCCACCTTTGGGGATTCCACATGCTCCTTCCCCACTGTGAAGCTGTGTCCCCGGACCATTTGGAAGCAGGGCACAATCTGAGCATCCCCCTGCCCCTGGCAGAGGGCCCCTGGAGACGCTGGATCCGCCAGCCTGACCGCCTGCCCCCAGATGGGCCGAGTCCGGGACAGGCCTGGTGTGGCTTGTGGCAGAAAGGCGGCTCAAGGAGCAGGGTCACCGGGTCTCTGTGATGCCAAGAGAAAAGTGGAGGTGCAGGGTCCTCTTCGGCCTCAGTGGTTGTTGGAAGCCAGCCAGCAGGTGCGGGCATTCCCTCTGTCCTGTTGCCTTGATCACAGGGGACCCCGGGCTCACGTGGTGGGCTCAACTTTCTAAGGGGCGGCCCTGCCAAACCTCCTGCTCCCTCGTCCCTCCCCGTCTGCACCAAATACAAGAGACGGCTGGTGCTGTGAGTCCGTCTCAACAGTGTGCCTTTGGGGACAGGCCGTGCCCGGGACCTTGCCAAGGGGTGTCTGTGTGCAGCTTCTGGTCTCCTGTGCGGTAGCCGTGCTGGGCCACGGCGGGAGCAGGGCCCATCTCGGCAGATCAGAGGGCGGAGCTACCCAGGTGACCCGGCTGGAACCAGAGTGGGCAGGAGAGAGGAGACTTGCTCCCTCCTGCATCCTCTCCCAGGAGGTGGGGGGAGAGGCTGCAGCTCCCTGCACAGTCCGGAAGAGAGGGATCCCGGCATTCTGGGCCGCTGACCCCAGCTTCCCTTCTGGTTCCTGGACACCCCGATGCTCCTTGGCTGTAAATCGAGGGGCTCCTCCGGGCTGCCTTAGAGCCCCCGAGCCAGTCCACCGGCCGCCCTCCAAGCCCTTGGGGCCACCCTGGGTTTCCGCGGGCCACTGGGTAAACGCTTGTCGGAGCTGACCTGATGTCCTCGGCAGCCAGGTCTCCAGACCCCGACGTGGTGCCTTTCTGTTTACCAGCTACTTCAATCCCAAAGTTGACCCTGCCACACCTCACTCCCAGCCACTTTGCCTTCTTGCTGTGTTGTGTGGGCTTTTGGTTTCTTACTGTTGTGTTTTTTTCTGGTGCTTGTGACTCCATGTGGTTCATGTTTAAAAGGGTGTATGCCTGTGTGCATGTGTGTGTGTGTGTGTCCGTGCACACACGTGTTGGTGTAACCGCCTGGGCTGAAGAGTTGATTGTCATGTTTACCGATAAAAGTCGTGCTTTTTTATTTGCTGCTATGTGCGCATGCGTGTCCGTGCGTGGCTGGGCATCAGCCACGTCTGACCGGAGAGTCACGGACTGTGCAGGGTTCCCTACAGGGGCTGCCTCGCGGTGTAGCCTGACTGGGTGTTTTAATCCTGTCGTTTCTTTGTTTGCGCGTCTGTCATGGCTAGGAAGAAGTGGCCGGTCTGTCCTCTTCTTAAGAGGGTTTGACATATTTTTATATATTTTTTTTTGGTACCAAAAAGAGTGTGCCTTGTTTTGGTTACACTCAAAATTCTGACCTGACCAAGAGGGCTCTGGGCCTAGAGGTTTCATTAAGGGGAAACAGGGAGGCCCAGAGCTTTTGGACCAATTGCTGGCTTGATTTGTGTTTTTTAATTAAAAAAAAAAAAAAATCATTCATGTATGCCACTTCTGATTGCTTTAAACTATGGCTGTTGTTTGCTTTTTTAAAAGAGTGAGTATGTGATTGCCCCGGGAAGCTTAAGATCTTTGTTGAAGCAGGACAGCAGCCCAGCCCCCTTATTCAATCAGGACCTACCAGGTAGAGAAAATGCTTCCCCCAGGAAGCCGTTGGTGGTTTGAGGGGAGGGGGTGGGAGGAGGGGCGAGGTAGTGCCTAGATGACCAGATTTTTGCTCAAGTACATTTAAAGATTCTGTTGCTTTTCTAGTATCTTTGGAAAACTAACACTAGGCCTAGGTTGCAGGTTTGTTTTCTGGTTTCTGATGTTAATTTATTTTGCAGGGGAAAGACATTAGCAAGTGGTGACAGGTTTTGTCTTACTTTCTGTTAACTTTTAGTATATCAATAAATTTTTTTTAACTTTGTCAGCCTGGTTTATATCCTGCGTGATGCCTGGAAATAGTAGTCTCTCTTCACTTGCCCTTTCTCGAGGCAAAACACTCTGGATGTGGACTGAACTGAGGGACCAAAACATCTAAGGCTTCGGGAAAGGGTTAGCCCCTTCCTGGAGCGCGGAAAAGGGTGTTTTTCTCTAGACGAAGGGGTCGGGTTGGTTACAACTGTGACCCCTACACCAGCAGTTCACAAAGGGCAATTTGGCCATGACTGGACGTGATTCTGGTGGTCACACCTTGGGGGCAGGGGTGAGTGTCACTGTCCCTGACATCTAGTGGACAGAGGCCAGGGACGCTGCTGGACATCATAAACTCACTTTGAGACCTTTCCCAGAAAGTGATACTTCAAGTTAACCCCAAAGACACTGTGCTGGAAAGTTCCATGACCCCTTGAGTCCCCTCCTGGGCTACCTCTTTGAAAAGGACATAGCTCAAAAACCCCAGGGGATTTGCTCCAGAGGTTTGGAGTCATGGGTGCCACTGTAGTCCTAACTCCACTCATAAGAAGGCGGTGGTTTGCCTGTTCTAGAATCTTCCCTGGGCCTTCAAGGTTTGCATCACTCTCTGCCTGAATTTGTTCATAAATTTCAGCCTGCAGGGAGATGCAAGCTCCCTTTGAGTGACAGAAGTTGGACCTGGATGTTGGCCTTCGTTGGCAGGCTAGTTGGGGCGAAGGCCTGAATGTTTTCCCTCCCGAGGAGGTTTTCGCTACAAACGGAAATGTGACCCCCACCAGAAAAGGCCCGGGGATTGGAAGTGCAGCTCCTGGGGGACAAGGCTGCAGGCCTGCTGTCTTTGTTGCCCCTGCAGAGAGGCTGGGGCCGTTTTGTTTTGGAGAAGGAAGGTGGGCAGGAATGACGCCTGCCTTGCTGGCTTCTGGCTTTTGAGAGCCTCAGAAGGGGGGCGGGGATGACCGGGAAGAAGTGGGCACCGCGCTGCCCCCGGTGGCCAACCGGGCTTTCCGTGGGAGCCCCTGTCTCCAGAGCCTCCGCCAGACCGGTGCGGGGCCCTGACCCACACCGGCCTTTGTTCGTTTCTGCGCGGCTGATCTCATGGCCTAATCCACCGCCTTCCCAGAAGAATAGGCTGGGCTGCCAAGGGGCCCAACCCGGCCCGCGGCCTCCCCCGTCCTCAGCCCCGCGCCGCGGGGTCCAGCCTAGGGCGCCCGGCAGTACGGCTCAGCAAGGCTTAGAGGATCCCGGCGGCTGAACACCCCCTTCCTGCCCGCGAGGGAGGGCGCAGAGGGCGCGTCCACCGTGGCCCACCGCGGCGTGCTCTGCCGCAGCTTTCCCCGCTCCTCTGGAGGCCCAGAAAGGCACCGGCCCGAGCGCTCCGCTAATCCAAAACCCCGGAGGGGGCGGCGCCGGCAGAGGGACAGAGGCCGTCGCCTCCAGAGGGCGCGCGCTGCCCGCGGACTTGGAGCCTCCGGCGCTTGGGTCGCGCAGGGGACGTTCTCCACCTCGGGCTCCGAGCTGCCCCGGGGAGCCGAAGTGCGCGACCCCCACCCGACTGCTCCCAGGTGCCCCCGAAAGCCTCCATCTTCGAAGTCTGCGGAAGAAAGCCCCGGCCCCAGTGTCCAGGCCCCCAAGGCTGGACGCCGCGGAGCGCCGCCAAACACTGAGCGGCTCGCATCTCAGACTGCGGCTGGATCGAGGCCCCTCTGGGCCCGGAGGGCTTTTTGGCGAGAGCAGGAAGTCAGAGCATGAGCCCCCAAGGCGCTGGTTGCCGGCCTTCTCGCCGTCGGGTCTCTGGCGGGCGGCACAGAGCCTCGACTGGGATCGGTGCGTTGTAAGAATCAAAGGCACAGAAAAGTGGATTCGATCCGCCGCGCTCCACGGAGCCATAAAGATTCCAGTTCAGCCAGCGGCTGCCACAGCCGCCGACCCTGCCCTAGGGAGCAGGGGAGCCGACCCAGGGCCGAGGCGGCCCCGCGGGCAGAGGTCTCCGCACCTGGTCTCCTGGAGAGCCTGTCCGGGGAACGGGTACAGCGCAAGGAGCTCCTGGTCAAAGCCGAGGTGGATGGTGGCCAGCCAGCCGGGGAAAGGGGACAGAGTGGGCACCCTCCCATCTGCCTAGACACCAGTCCCCTCCGATGCCCAAACACCCAGGAGAGGTCGCCTGAGGGAGTCCCGACCGAGCAGCTGGGCCGCCGCTCAGGGGCTGGCCTCCCGTGGAGCCCCTCCCCAAGCCACCCCACTACATCCCCGCCCCTGATTCTGCCCCCTGCGGCCGCAGGCCCTTCAAGTCCGAAGGGCACTCAACGCCCCATGACCCGCTGCCCCGATCCCCGGTGCCAGTCGCTCGCTCCCTCCCACTCAGCTCTCACTCAGCTCTCAGAACTGGGGAAAGAGGCGCGGAGAGCGCCGCCAAGGGCGGGGTCCCCAATCGGTTGGCCAAAGACTGGAGATGCGCGGGTGAACGTGTCCCCACGCCCCTCCCTTCGCGCTCTGCCGGTGCGCCCAGGTCTGCGCTTCTCTGCGCCACAAGGTGCGGGGGTGGGGTGCCTACAGGGGTGGGACTGGGACAATGCCATGGCCACCTTGGGGTCCGGAAGGTGGCTCTCCCAAGCCGCCCCACGTCAGCGCTCTGCAAAGTCTTCCGCCCGGAAGGGCCAAGAACCCCCATCCCCACCCTGAGCTCTGGTCTCCCCCGACCGCGCCTCTCCCGGCGTTGGGGCTTCTACACCCGAAGAAGACCGGGGACGGAGAGCTGGCGGGGGGCGGGGGCGCGGGGCTGCTCGGCGGCAGCGCCAGGTTCACTAATCACATCAGCGTGCTCTGCGCCGGCTCCCAGCAGCCAGTTGCCTAGCAATACCCGCGAATTCAATTCCTCAATCAATAGGCGCGAGGCGCTGCATTTCGGGGAGCGCTGGCGAGGCTGGGTGGGTCTGGGGGGCGGGTCCCACGACAGCACCGGGAAGCAGACCCAGAACCGCCAGCCTCGAGTCTGCGGGCGCCCGGGCCTCAGGGACCAGCGCCGTCGGGTCTGGGGGTGGGGGGCGGGGGGGCGGGGGGGGGGGCGGGAGAACCCCACTAGAAGAGAGGGGACCCTAAAGGTTGTGCCCATCTTCCTGATGTCCCCGAGTTCTGCCTGGGTCCCAGAGAAGTGCATCCCGTAGGTGAGGAAAACCACGACCTCCCCGGGAGGCTAAGGAGAGACATACCCCACTCCCACCGGAGCCCACCTCTTCCCCCTCCCCCAGCGGGGAAGTTTCTCGAGTTGGGGACGGGCCTTTGCTGGGGGAATCCTCCGGGGGCCGATGGGGGTGTGAGTGAGGGGTGGGTGAGATGGGTAATGAGACTGGAAAAAAGGGTCCTTTCTCCGGGGGCTAGTGTTCCCTCTGGTGGGGGGCGGGGAAGGGGAAGGAATAAAACCGAGACATGTCTCTATTTACAAAGTATATATTTAAACACGTAGAAAGCGGTATTGGATACAGACATTCACGACCGCAGAAGATAGGGACCAAAGCTTCGCTCTTGAGCTGAGGCGGGGATCGATTGGAGATTTGTACAAATCCTAGAATTAAATAAACTCCACACGCGCACATCCGGCGCGGTTGCAGACTCCCAGCCACGCGGCCTGACCCCTGCCCACCCCCACCCCCAGGTCAGCGTCGCAAGAGCGAGAGGAGAAGACACACGCACGCACGGCCACGGACAGACGGCGGACAGAGGGGCGGCGGGGGCAGAACCAGGCTGGCCTCGGAACGTCGGAAGGAAGGGGCAGAGTCAGCCCCGAGGGAGGGAGAGGGGAGCCACGAGAGGACAGGAGAAAGGAAAGCGGCAGCCAGGTGGACACGTGTCCCTGAGTCACCGTCCACTGGGTGACAGACACGTCCCTTCGATGAAGCTTCATCTGAAAACAGCGTCCACATTTTAGTAGATACACTTAGCCAACGGCGCTTCTTTATACAAAGTCTAAAATACCAGTTTTACAAATGTGAGCGGATAAAAATCCCCTTTCCGGGGGCTTCTCTTTATAGGCGCAATTTGATATTCAAAAACAAATAAAATCACGTAGTACACCGTCTTCCTCTTTTTTGCCCCTCTCCCTAAAGGCAAGAAAGTCTGGAGGAGAGAGGGAGGCGGGGAGGTGGGGAGTGCGGAGGAGGACGGGGCTGCAGCTCCCACCCTGCACCCCATCCAGAAGCTCCCCCGGCCCCCGGCCCCCGCCCCCCGCCTCGCTCGCCCCGAGTCGTGCTCCCGCCCGCGCGCGGGGCCCCCACGCCCTCCCTAGACGCGCAGCGGCCAGTCGGATCTTCCTAGCCTTTTAAGGGCGGCGGAGGCCGGGGGCCAGGGATCAGTCCTCGAAGAGAAGGAGGGGTTGGGGGGGAGGGGAACAGATTTGTGCTTTCGAGTCCAAAGAGGGGCGCGCGTTCTGCGTCCCTGGAGCGCACGGGGGCGCCCGGGCCCCGCCGTCGCGCACGGCCTCCCCCGCCGCGGCCGTCTCTTTTCAACTCCCGCTCCTCCCGCCCCCTTTGGCGGAGTTTGAATGTCGAGTTCAAATGGAGAACACTCCGCGAATCGAAAAGGCCTATAAATTATAGCTTTTGCTTTTAAGAAGGGGGGGAGGGAGGAAAAAGCAAAAGTTCTGATGCGCATTCTTGGATGAAAACCTCGCCTCTCCCCTCCTTCCCCTCGCCCGCAGGAGCCGCCGGGGATGCGGGTCCTGCCGGGCCCCGAGCCCCGAGCCCCCGCCGCACTCCCCGCCAGGCCTGGGCGCGGAGCCTCCGCTCCCGGCCTCGCCCGCCGCCGCGCCTCCCTCCGTGGTCCCGCAGGGTGGGCCTGCCTGGCCGTGCGTCCGTGCGAGCGCCGGCGGCCCGCCCTCCCCGAGGGAGGCCGGCCAGTCCAACTCTTCCCGGGAGGCGGGGGCCACCGTCTCTTCTGCAGGCGAGGCTAGAGGACGCGGAAAGGAGTGTCCACCCCCAAACACTTTTCCTGGAAAACAACGACTGTCTCGAACTCTGGGCACGGACATGCAATCCTCCCAGTTTATCCTGGCATTTCGGGAATGTAAACAGATTCGCTGGATTTCTTTTCTTTCTGTGGAGTAAGGAAAGGAATCGAGGGAACCGGGAGACTCTGTCCACATGACATACACACGATCTGATCGGCGTGCGTCACACACACGTCAGCTCCCGTAAAGTGCATTTCCTGATGTGGTCCTGGGGGGATCTGCGGGTCCCCGCCCACCTGCAACTTTTACCTTCAACATCACACACAAAAGTTATTCAAGTGAATATCCCAGCCCCCACCAACAGACTTCTCAATCTTTAAAAAAAAAAAAAAAAAAGGCAAAACACACTGACCCCACCCCCTTTTTTTCTGATTGGGGAGCCCATCTTTTGTTGGCCTGGTGGGCCAATGGGAAGAGAGAGAAAACCCGGGTCCTGCTTGGTTCCAGGGGTCTGCCACCGGGCTGTGGGAAAAGGGAGGAGGGGCGAGGTGGGTAGGCTGAGTCCCTCCAGACACCATCAGAGGTCCACTACCCAGGTCCCCAACCTCCCTAGTGCCCTGGGTGGCCGAGAGGCGGCGACTCAGCCCGTCTGCCCCAACTAAACCACACTAAGTCTTTCTCTCTCTCCTTGTTTAAATAAAACAACTTCAAGAGTTGAAATATATATATTTAGATATTTTTTCTTAAATAACATATTTACATCTAATAGAAAATATAACTCTAGAGATAATCTTTCCAACCAAAACTGAAGGGAGGGGAGGAGGAATGGAAAGGGCTGGGCATGTGAAGTTAGGGACAGGACCAGCCAGAAGGCTGCCCCCCACCCAGAAATAAAAAGCGTTATGCCAAGTTTGCGCTCCCACTCTCTCTCCTGCTCTCTCGTCCTGGGATCACCCACCCAGCAATTCATCTTTTCTCTTTAAAAAAGCCTTGGTCCGTGTTACTTTCCTTAATGGTGACGGTCAAAAAGTTTGAGGTCACGTCGGTGACCACCACCTTCTCCAGATTGGTCAGAGAGGGACTCCACGACTCCTCCTCTGGGTCCCCCAGGATTCTGGCCACTGGGATCCTGGCGATGAGGGAGGGCCTTCCCCCCTGGGCCCCCATGTCCCGATACAAGCCCCCCACAGAGCCGGGGGTGCCTGAGCCATGCCGGACCCGGGGGCCACCTGGGTCCATGGTGCCCTGGCCTCTGGCCTCCAGGAAGGTGGCCCTGTGCTTTATGACCCTGGCCGGAAAGGTGTCCACAGCCAGCTTGCCCGTGGCCTCCGCCGGGCTGGGGTTGGCCACACCGCACTGGGCCAGGTCCGAGTCCTGCCTCCGGGCCAGCTGGATCACGCTGTGGCCGGCTGGGAACTTTCCTGCCCCAGAAGGGGCCTCGTCCAGCTTCCTGCCCTTGAGGTAATCTCCGAGGCCATCGCTGGCTTCTCCCAAGGGCCTCTGCGAGGGGTCCAGGAGCTCCTTCCGGGGCTTGGGGCCTCGCTTCTTGGAGCTGTCTCCGGGTGAGCTGGGTTTGTCATCCGTGCGGCTGGCACCCCGCTCCCGCTCGCGCTCCCTCTCTCGTTCCCGCTCCCGCTCACGCTCCCTCTCCCGCTCTCGGTCTCGGTCCCGGTCCCGGTCCCGTGGGGGCTCCACTCTGCAGGTGCTGCTAGGGCTGCTGCTGCTTCCTGGTGGGGACAGACCCATGTTCCGAAGGCCCTCACGAGCTCGAGAAGTAGAGGCCAGGTCCTGGGGGGCGCGTCCAGGGTAGGGGATCCGGATGCCTCGGGCCGAGTCACTTCGGAACTCGTAGGTTTTGGCCTTTGCCTTGGCCTGGGCCTGCAGGAGAGAAGGCATGTCAAAAGCAGAGCAGGGCCCCCTGCCTACTTTCCCCCAGGACCCCTCTTCCAGCAGGGGCCTTCCTGCTTCACCCTCTGATGCCTCAGAATTTCTATATGGGTGGGGGTGGGGCTTAGGGGCTGCAGTCTGGGGGACGCACTGGAGAATTCGTCTGGAAGCAGCCATTGCACCAAGCACACTTCTTGCTGGTACTGGATTATATGTCAATTGGGGATGGCCGTGGGCACAGTCCTAGCAAGGCTAAGCCCCTTACCCCAAGACACCCCTTGGCGCCACCACTGACCAGGCGACAGCCTGTGTGGGGGCTCCTTCCTACATTATAAATAAGCAACATGATGGGACACCCCAAAGGTCCATAAGCCCTCAGGTGGGCCACGTTGCCGCCCACCACCGGGCACTGCCATCTTACCTTGAGGAGGAAGGTTTTGGGTTTGGGTCCTCGCTTTTTGGGGCCATAGAGCTCCATCTCCCGTTCCCTAGAGAGAAAGGAAAGAGAAACGGGATGTGTGTGTGTGTGTGTGTGTGTGTAAAGAATCTAGTGGCACTCCTGTCCAGGCTGGACCCGTGTCCCTAAGTTGAGGGTCTGAGCTTTGAAAGGGCCTGTACCTTTCCTCAAAGGCTGCAAGCAGGCGGGCATCCAGGATGTTTTCTTCGGGCTCCCATGTGCTGTACCTGGAGGGAATCAGGAAGAAGTGGGCGTCAGTCCCGGGAGCAGGGAAAGAGCGGCGGGTGTGTGTGTGTGTCTCTAACTTTTCTTGCATTGTGCTGTATTTCCACGTAAAGGGGAAAAGAGGAAGAAAGAAACCTCCCGAACAACAGTCTGGGGCTGAGAATTGCATATAACCTACTTACTTCTGCGACCAGCCCTTCCATTTCACGAGGTACTCCATGCGTCCCTGCGGATGCAAAGGGGAAAATGCGTGTGTGCAAGGGGAGAAATGCATGACGAGGACACAAGAAATACATGCAAAAAATGCATGCACCAAATGAATGCGCGAAATCCCACCGCGAAAGGCACGCGCTCGCCGCATCACCCCTGCACGAAACGCTGCACAAAGTGCATGCACCGGCATCCATCCCCCCACCCCGCCCCCCACCCATGCAATCTGTGCATCGCTGCAAGTCTAAGGAAAGCGCCTGGGCTCAGAGCCGCCGCCGCCGCCGCCGCCACGGCCGCGGCCGCTGCTGGGACCTGGGGGAAGGGAAGCTGGGCTGCAGCAGGGGGAGGGAACCCAGGCCGGGAGGGGAGGGCTCGGCCAGCCTCGGTCCGAGGCCCGGAGGTACCTACTTTCCGTATGCGCCGCTTCAGGAGGGCTTCGGCCGCGAACACCCGCTCCCCCACCGCTGAAAGCTCCATGTTGACTCGCCGCTTCCCCCCTTGGCCGCTTCCAGGAGCAGAAAAGCAGCAGCCAGCGCACGACAGACCATAATACTCTCCCGCTGACGTCAGTTCTCCTCCCCCTCCCGCGCGCCCGCTCCCTCCCCGCCCCCCTCCCGCGCGCCCGCTCTCCCCTCCCCTCCCGCCCAGAGCTTCCTCCGGCCCCACGTGTTGCTAACGACGTTGCTAAAGCGGAGCGGCTGGGGCCTGCGCCCCTGCGCGCTGATTGGCCGAGCTCCGGGCCACGCCCCTCTCCCTTTCTCCCCCGCGTTGCTACGTGACCCGCGTTCCAATCGCCAGGGGGCGGAGTCCGAGGCTACTCCAGAGACAGAGCGCGAGGGGGGGGTGGGGGCCGCCGCCGGAAGTGACGTAGAGGGGAGGGCGGGCCCGGCCGCTGTCAGTCTGCGGGGCTGGCGAGGGGGCCGTCCACCCTCTGTCCTCGCCGGGGCCCCCTCCCTCGCCACCAAGTTGTCCCTCCGGTGCTCGGCGTCCCCCAGGGCTCTCGCTGGAACCCCCGCGGTGGTGTCAGCCAGACCCCGCCCCCTCGGCAGACCCCGGCCGCCCCACACCCACCGCCTGGACTCGCGCCCTCCCCTCCCCCCCAGCCGCCGCCCGCACCGCACAATGCACAATGCACAGGTGCTGGGGTGCCGCGGGTCGCGCGGGTACCCCGCAAGCCGGCCTCTCGCCCCGGACCCGCTCCGCTCCCGGCCCCCTCCCCCTTCCGCACACCCGACCCTCGGTCTCCATGACAACGGCCTCCCCCGCCGCCGCCAGCCCCATCCTGCTAACAAATCAATGTGCCTGTGTCTCTGTCTCCTGTCGCGCGGCCCTGCCCTCGGCCACCCTCGGGCCCTGCGAGTCGAGCTGGGCTCGAGCGCTCGCTACCAGCTCGGAAGCCGAAGGCAGACCTAGTGGGCACCCGCGGTCCCCGCCCGAGCCTGCCTGCGCCCCCAGGACCCCGCGGGGGACGTCGCGCGTCCTCTCCCAGACCCGGGACCCGTCCCCGACGCCGGCAGCCACCTGCCCCTGCTGCCAGTCCGTGCTGCTCGTCCCCGCAGGCCCCGGCCCCGCGCGTCGCCAGCGCCAACCCCTTGGCAGGGGTCTGGGTGCGCTGGGGGAGGGCGCGGACGACCACCAAGGCAGAGTCTGAAGCCCGGCTGGGGTTGGGACCAGGGGCTGTGGGGGCGTCCGGCTCCCCGCGGACCCGAGCGACCTGCGGGGCCTGCGCGGCGCACTTCCTGTCCGGGGCTCTTCCGATGTGTGCTCCTCTGTTCACTCGGCCAGAAGAGGCCAGGAGACCCCGAGCGGGAAGTGGCGGGGGCATCCCAGGGTCCCGAGCTGCTTGAGGGACAGGGGCTCTCGGGCGAAGATGGCGGGTCCAGGAACAGGGGCGAGGGCCGGGCCACGGACGCCTGCACGCACACACGCGCGCACAGACCCTTTGGCTCAGCTCGCGGGGAGCCGTGGCTGGGGCAGCGGCGCGGAGAGCCCCAGTCCCGGCCCAGCTCTCCCGACCCTTTTCTCCTACCGCCCAAGCTGCAAGTCACAGCGCCCACTCCTTGGGACCCACGATTTAGTTAAAATATCCGTAATAAACTTGACTGGAAGAGATTTCCCTTGACGAGGGGGTAGAGTGGGAGAATGGGGAGGGGGAAGAGAGAGAGGGGACGAGAAAGAGAGAGAGAGAGAGAGGGCGAGCCAGGGACTCTGACTCGACAGGGCAGGGAGCCCGGAGCGGAAAACGGGCCTCGGGTCCAAAGTTAGGTGCGCGGCGGGCGGCGGGTAGCGGCGCGGTCCGGGGCGCGCGGGACCGGCGTGGCTCGGAGCCCACCTTCTCTCCCACTCCCGGCCCCCGGCCCTGGAAACGCGGGGTCCCAGGCTTTGGCCTTGCTCCCAGACTTGACAAGGTGGGCGCCAGGTGAAAAGCCCCATCTCCGGCCGTTCTGTCTTAACGAACGGCGCGTTGGCGACGGCCACATCGCCCCGCCGACCCGCGCGGGCCGCCCGCGAGAGGCCGCCGACGGCAGCGTCCTTCATCATAAAAAGTCATTCCCGGTAACAAATAGTTTCGTTGGCCCGTGCCAGCGATACAGCTGTTTCTGTTTAAGCTTAAATACTTTCCAACAGTTTGGGCAGTAAAAATAAAGTCGGCCTCAGCCGCCTATAAGTGTCTGGTTTCCCCGCCCAGAGAAAGCCCACCCTCCGCCCTGGGCCCGGGTCGCCCTGCACGCCCCTCCTGCCCCCTCTTGGCATCCGCGGGCCGCGGTGGGCGACGCGGCCGGACCGCCCCAGTCCCGCACCGGCCGCCGGAGGAGGGTCGAGGGCCACCTTGGAGGCCGGAGGGAGGGAGCCTACGCGGAGCGGCGGGAGGACCAGACCCGCCTCGCCGCCCGCCCTCCCCCACCCCTCGCCGGCGGCCTGAGCCCGCACTGAGTGGAGGTTTCCCTTCAGATAGGGTTTCTGAAGCCCCGTCCCCGGGAGTTGTGTTTGCGTTGGGTGCCTTCACAGACCCGGAGTTTGCACGAGGCGTGCAGAGGTCGATGGTTTCAGTTTCACGCTGAAAAAGTTCGCGTTCCTCCTGCCTCCCAGGGTTTCTCTTTCCTTCTTCCCCCCCCTTCCTTACTCCCTTCCTTCCTTTCCTTCCTTCCCTCCTCTCCTTTCTCCTTCCTTCTCTCTCCTTTCCTCCCCGCCTCTCTCTTTCTCTCTTTTCCATCTTTGCCTACATGCCTCTGGAGCTTGCAGCGGGGAAATGCAAACCCTGGTGTGGCCATGCACGGCCCCTCCCCAGGAGGGGCACTGAGAAACGCTCCCCTTGCTTTCTTGCTGCACGTTTCTGCCTTTCTTTATGCCTGGTACTGACAACTCTTGTTCTGAACAAAATTATCGCTTCTGGGGTGTCTCAGTTGGCAAACATCGGGAAGTGCTCCTGCAGAGCCCACAGCAGAGATGGAACTCAGTCCAGAAGGGAACAAGAGATACAGAATAATCTTTGAGATCAGACTGAGTCCCATTCTTTTCAGCAGCAGATGCAGTCCTGCCTGCTGACCAAAGCCAACCCCAAGGTGGGGTGTTACCCCAGCTTGGCACCCACCACCAGCTGTCCCAGATGGAGCAGGGTTACAGAGAGTGGGAAAACAGGTCACTGCAGGACCTCAAGTCTGGGAAGGTTTGAAAACGGAGAGGTTGCCGTGTGAGAAATGGGCTGGTAGTGAGGCAGGACCCAGAGCTGGGGCCTCCCCGGTGGGCACGAGGGTGCCTATATGTGCCAAGAGAGGGCGCTAGCCCTGGGGGTGGTGGAGGCATCATTGGGGCAGAGGGGGCAAGGGTTCTTTCAAACTGGTCTGCTGGTGCCCCTGTCTTAGAAACCAGGACATGGAATCCGCTCCTCACTTTCTTACTGAATGTCCCTTCCTGAATCATTCAACTTTCGCCACCTCCCTTCTTTCCTCCACACAACTACTTTTCTCTTTCTAAGTTAGATAATTGTTTTCCCATATGCACCCCTGGGAGTAAACAAAACAAAGGTTCAAAGAACTAGACCCTTCTGCTTCTCATCCCACTGCTCCGCTGCCCTAGGCTGTGGCTGTCAGGTTGGAGTGCGCAGCCTCTGCAGTAAATAAGGTAGCTGCTTCCTATTACTTTAGCCCCATATGGCTGCAATTTGAGTGTCTTTGGAGACAGTGCTTGTGTTGGGGGGGGGCACGGGGGAGTGAAAGTGGAAATCAAATGCTCTCAGATCGCATTTTTATGAAGGAAATTGTCGGCGATTCTCTTAGCAGCCTTCCCTCCACCCCTGGTTCCTGAGATGAGCTGCCCAGTTTCTTTGTTTACGGAAACACAGGCGCCCGCCTACCTCGGGGCACCTGCTTCCCCAACCCCTGGGTCTCTAGCCCAATTCTGCGCTCATTTTGGTGACCTGGGAACACAGTCCTGATGTCCGTTCCCGACAAAGGACCTCTAACCTGCTCCCCACACCTGAGAGCCCGCGAGCCCTCCGCCCCAGTCTCTGGAAGGTGCTCCCACCCTACACTCCATGTCATCCTCTCATTTGAACCTGGAGACCACCTTAGGGCCAGGGGACCTCTTAGACCTCCCTGTGCCCACTGCCAACGGACTCAGCGCCCAGGGAAGGGAGGCCCGAGGCCGGCAGGGTCCGAGGGGAAGGAAGGGGAGGGGCAGGCCAGGCAAGGCGCTTGGCTCCTGGGTCGCTGGCCAGACCAGCAAGCCTGAGCGCGTCCTCTAGCTGGAGGGTGAGGCTGAGCCTCAGCTCGTTCACTGGGAGCGTTTCAACTCCACAGCTTGGCGGGCGTCGGACCTGCCTGGTCTTGGCCACGACGCAGGCGGATTTGGAACCCAATCGTTCCCTTCAGGAGCAATGGTGGGGCCGGCTGTGAAGCAAGCACGGTGGCTCTGAACCGTGGCGGAGTGGGATGTGGCCTCACGTGCGGCAAAGAGACCAGTGGCTTACTTTCGGTGGCCCCAGAACCCGATGGGCATCCTCAGCCTCTGCCTCCCCAACGCCCAAGCCAGGGCCCAAACCTGTGGATCCCTGAATGCCTGCTACTGGGGGAAGCTGCGGGAGTGACCCAACACCCTGCAGAGAGGTCCCCACGACCCAGACGGGACATGCTGACCAGTGACCGGAGGTGAGGCTGCCGAGTGTCGGTCGGCCTGAGCTGTCCCTACTTCCCGTGAACTCCCAGGAGC